AAGCTTCGTGCCCATTTTTAGCTCCTTTGGCTGAAGCATAGCCTCAAATTACGTTGTCAACCGAAACTGCCACAACGTCGCCATTGGCGGAAAGGTGGTGTGGCCGTCGGCGCGGCCACACCGCAAAAGAAGCGAGATAACAGAATCGCTTGGTAGCAAAACAACGGAGCGACTAAGCATGCGTAGGACAAACTGAAAGAAGTAGCGGGCACAGCAGCGCCAAAGGGCGTATGGCTGTAAGTAGCGGTTAAAATGGCGGTGTGCTCGACGCCCGCAATGTGTCAGCCTGTCGACTACTTATGAGAGCTGTGGTGATCTCGTCTGCTACTGGCACACTGATCAGCGACGTCTAGTTGAAGCAGCTCGTGACGGCTTGACAAAGAGCGTATGCTGATCGCGGCATGTTATACAGCCGTGCGAAATTCTACGCTCATTAGCCAGATCGCCAGGCAGCGAGCAAACGTCGGCAACGGCAACACGCAGCAAGAGCACTAACGTAAGCCCAGCCGACGTTAGCACCGCCATACAATAAACCCTGAACAACGTGCTTCATGCGCATTCAATTTGATATCATAATTGGCGCCTAGAGTCGCAAGATAGATATTGAGAGAGAGAGAGGGGGTCCGCCGCGATTGAGTCTGTCATGTCAGAATCGTTTCGGTTTCACGTGCTGGCCGACTCTGACGGCGAACGAACGACGAGTGACTGGCAAGGAACAAACAATGTAACTTGAACATTTGAACTTGACCAGGCATCAGCTGCCAGGACGCATGGTAGAAATAACAACGTGCCATCGCGGCTGCCACCAACACCTCTCACCACAGCCACAAAACGATTGATAGTTTGGCAGTCCTGTCGTCCCTATCGCCACGACCGCTGCCGTTTGTGCTGCTGTTGTTGTGATAGCGATTCGTGTTCAATAATCCGAAGAGTCATGATCGGCGGCTCATTGCCCTCTTGTTTTTTTATCAAGGGCTAATTGTAGTAGTAGCGATACCGTCTGTCGTCTGTTTAAACCCCAACGTTTATCTGCTGTCCTTCAGATTTTTCACCTTCGTTCATGTATGCTTCTTTTGTATCTCATCGTCGACGTCATAGTCCTTTTCGCCAGGACCTTTAAATTAGCGGCCAGACTTCAAAGGACAGTCAAAGGAGAGATGTATCTCCGGACCTGTGACAACTGACGCCAGTAGTTTGTTACTAAGTCAGCGCTAAACGCACGTAGATTCACGGGCGTGCACGAAATCATCACGATGACTGACTGCGAGCCAGCTGGTTTCGGCTTCTAGTGGGCAGATATTCATATGAACTTCTAATTACTGATTGCAACAGAGCAGCTAGCATGTAGAAAAAAATACAAGTGATCGGAAATACTATGCTTTTTCGAAGACTTACAGTACAACGCTGATTCCTTTTTTATTGATACATTTGGACTTGGGCGGTGCTGATATTTCTCTACGGAACTTTGGCATCTCTATAGATTTGTAATGGCTAGAGAGCGTCGAGCGTCATAGACGTTCACAGTTGTCACATGCATAAATTGCCTGGTAGACTTTTAAGTGGAGTAAAAAAACAACGAAGAAACGAGCCGTAAACTGACCGAACAAAGCGACTGAGCAGTCTTCTGTCAATACTTCGGGTCGTTTCAGAAGACACTGCAGAAACGCGTACAGAAGAGGAACTTTAACAAGTTCTGGCTTCTTCACAAGATAACATCTTACATTAACGAGATACACAAATTGCGATGACAGCATCTTCTTCTAATATAACAAATTCATGTTGGACGCTTCAGTTGTCCGCGTCGTGTAGCATAGTTATTCTAATGACGACGAAACGGTGCCGATATCAGCGAAGACCTTGACTCCAGCCGGTGGTTATGAAATAGAATCAAATTTGCTATCCAGCTTCGGGCGTAATCGTCGATATCGTTCTATTTTAGGCTTTGCCTTTTCCTTAAACGTATAGTTACTGATAGTCTTATCCTTAACTCTGATCTTTACTAAGTGGTTGTAATTTTTCTGTTTTCCTGACCGTTCGCGGTTTCTAATTTTTCGTGTTATACATTTTATGGCAACCTGTTTTGTTGCCTGTTCATCCTCATATCCCTTTCTTTGGCGTTATTTTCTTTGGACTCTCTTTTTTTGTCCTATTTTCCATCTTTTTTTTTAATAGGAAATTTATACACCCGCCCGATGATCGCCATTTTCGGATTAGGTCAAAGCAGATGCATTTCTAAAAAAATTAACGGCGACCTAGCCTCGTTCCCGGCTTCATTGGCTGTATTTTTAGCTGGCGCGCTCGCCCTTCGGCAAACTTGGCGGTTGCCGGCTGTTGTTACGGTACATATATGCGAGCAGTGTTTTCGGCTTAGTACTGTTTTTCGAAGTAATGCCATCCATCACAATTTCTCACACGTCTATTTTTCGCGCACCCGCCCAAATAACAAGCAAGCTAAGAGCCAGCTAAGAGCAATAGACAGCAGAGGCAGCATCAACGACTTTTAACGATTTCTATATATATATATATATATAACGACACATATGTGGGTAAAAGCATACAGCAGACGGTTATGGTAAGGGGAGTAGCTGACAAGGATCAATTTCTTAAGAGTAACACTCAGTTCTTCATTCATAAGAATACAATTACTTGCTCTTTGCTGGTCTACCCATTTAAAAAGTATAAGACAATTATACTTTGTTCATTTAGCTGAAAAAGCCTTTTCCTGGCAGTTTGGCTATGTTCCGTGAAGAAAAACTAGGGAGAGCAAGTTCGTTAATGCTTATTTATTATACATAGACTGTATGAGTTGGACTGCCAAAATCTCTTAAGTCATGTAACAAGATCGTTTCCTTAAGCGCAAAGATAATACATTATAAGAGACACGAGTAGTGGTCGTGTTTATATGTATGATTATACAAATAGGAGATCTTGATTAACATTATTAGACATGTCACTAAGAGCATGGAACCATTAGCTCAAAAAAATCACACTTCAGCCAGGTTTTTGCCACTTTACAATGATTAATTTAGCACAGATACAAAAATATGAATGTTTTTTTGTACACATGCAAAAAAATACAGTTCACCAATCTTAGCTTATCTAACTTGAAAAGTTTCAGGTACAAGGAAATTGTTGAGAGTCAACACTTACTATCTAGTCCAGCGTGCATCAGGGTTCGGGAATCGTAAATATCAATGACACATGGGTTTCAACGTAACATTTCAAGTTTAAGGTAAAAATCAGCCACTTTTCGTTAGCCGTCATGTTTGGCCTTGGCGTCATCTGTACTAGCTGACGTAGTAAATATATACGTGAGCGACCATGGAGCTGAGTCAGTTGACGCGCTTCTTACTGCAGATACAAAAACTCTGGCGCTTCGTGTACAAAAAGGGTATTGTGTCCGTTTGCACGTTGTTCACGAATACACGTACGCGGTACGCAGCAATATAAGTTGATCACAGGTGAGATGTGTCGTTTAAAGCATATGCTTCTGAGACGAAATTTTATTGGACGACAGACAGGACAATCTAGGCAACTATGACGGACAACCGTTTACCCGTTATCGGTGGACATCTGGAGAGTAGAGAACGCAACGCTAGTCGTTAGGTGATGATGACTTTATAATTGAAGCACACGAGGCGAGCTTTATACTTCTCAGGAATACTTTCAGCTTTCTATGATGCAGGTAAATGCAAGAGGTTCAGGTAACTCATAGTGTGCACGTAAATAATAAACTAGAGTAACGTCCCATTTAGTTAACGTTTTTAAATTGCTTCTTTTTTCTTTGTGTTCGTTGAATCATACGACAACATTGAAAGCAGGAGGAAGAACGCCAAAGCTTTTTATACAATAAAAATTAGAATATTAATCAAAATTTCTATTTAAGCCCTTTAAACACAAAGCACCACTTTGGTATGGGCTGTGTTATCTTCCCGTAGCAGTCAGGATCAGATTATTGCTTCTGCATGATGGATATTCAGACTCACACCTGCACATGCGCATACGGCATGTATAACGGAGGTTGTCTCTGTGTGCTTTATGCAATGTCACTTGCTTTCATTTTCTTTTTACGTGAGCTACCCATTTTTTTCTGATCATCTTAAGCGATTAGTGGATTTAATATCAAATAATCATATCCCGCTGTGTGGTTATTTGTTGCTTTTTGCCTTCTAGCCTGGTTTCTGTTCCCTAAAAGACGTTGGCTTTGCAAATACACTGTGAAGATACGTATAATGTTTCCATACAGTGGAAACGGAAGACGTCGCTTTTAACGGCGTCCATTTCTGCGATTGTTCCCTTTAATACGTCGTCAGCGTTCACGGTTTCTTGTCTCATCTTTGTAGCGAAACTTATAGCAGTTTACCGTGATTCGCGCAGGCACCCATCGCCATGTTGAGTCTGTGGCTTGAACTCTTAGGGCATCGGACCGTTTTAAGGACGATGTCGGCGTTTAATAAATGGGTTTTCCTATGGCGCACTTTTAACGTGATCACACGTCACTGGCGTCACGTACGCCTGTGTTAGATGCACGTATCCAATTTAATCGAATCCAATGTGGAAAGAACCCGGCCACTATAGGGGAGAAGAAAAACTCCTCTTTGTAAATCGACTAGCAGATTAATGCTACAAATTGGCATGACTATTATGGAATGATGTATTTCACGTAAAGCATAGGTGAAGATCTTTGAATCGAAGCAAAGGTTGTAAAATCAAAATAGATATTTTGTTTGTATTTTAATTAACTTGGTTATGTGACAACCGTGGCTTATTTACGCAGTGACATAGTCACTTACGCTGTTTGAGAAAACTATTTCAACTTACCGCAATGCCACACTTATCGCGAATAAGGGTAAGTTCGATCAGAAACTTACCGACCAGGAATTACCAATAACTTGAAAAATATCTTACGCCTCATTAAGCCAAATGCTGCTGGAGTTCGTAAAAAGACAGTCTGAAGTAGTTATAGAAATGAATGTATACCAAGCCACAGGCTTCCGTACCTGTACTCTTGCCTCAGTGAGATCCACCCGCATCGCCAGCTCCTCCCTGGAAAAGATGCATCAAATATACGTGAGTATACAAGTTCTATTATAATTTCTATAATAATTACTGAACTTAACAAAAAAAATGCAACAATGCCGAGTCAACTTTAGGTGCTATCTAGCATCTGTCTCTATATCAAACAAACACGGTTAGCGACGCACTACCAAGTGGTTACATCGTATTTAAGTCGGCAGCAGCTGTTCTGCGTTAGAGACTCTGCTGATCATACTGTATTATTGAGTTAAATTTGCACGCACGTTTTCAACGTCTACGAAACCCACAAAGCGTTCTACAGGCCAAAGCTTTTATTCTTCAAAGCATTTCTCCCGAACGTAATTACCACATCATACTGAGCATACCCACATACGGCCTGAAGCGATGGCCACCGAACACAATATCAGAGGGGTGCGTACAAGACGTTTCTAAAAAGAAGGAAGATCATTAGCAAGCTAATGGAGCTCCTGCTGCCGACAGCATAGTCTGTCTCCAAAGAGACCCAGCCAAAAAGGCAAGCCACGCAAGACTCAACGTTATGCGCCATAAATGGATATAGTGGCCATCATATGATAGTGACCTAGCAACAAAAACACAAATATCTTAATTAAATTAAAAGCTGTTTCAAAAGCCTTAATTATGGACACAAGTTGACGTACCAATGGGGCAAAAATCTTGGTGTTTGTCTGCCCCGCTCTTTCCTTTCTTCGTGTGTACGATCATATGATTCTGTCTAATGAGGCAACGAATGTTCTATGCGTATGGTGAGCTAGAAATGGTTTTATCTCGTTGACTTTACATTATTCAGGCCAATGATAGATAAAAACTGTTACCCAACCTGAACTATCGTTTCAATGGCCTTCTAATATTAAATGCTTAGGAATATGTGTATTTCTAAAATAAGAAAATGGAGTTTTGTCACCTAGAAATGACCATTTATGTTGCCGTCACGATCGAGTCAGGTTGATATAAGAATTACGCGGCGCCCGAACGTTTAACTTACTTCCATTCCTGAGTAGGAACAATTGTATAGTATATTTTAAGTTCTATTCAGAATGTCCAATATCATGTTCAAACGCGAAACGATAAGTGTATAGTATCGACGTCTAGCACTATAAATTGATGAGCCCGATTTCTCTACCATCCTTCCATACTCTATGTATTATCGCGTTCATAAGCGTTACAAGGACTTGTTTTTGGCTTGTCCGCTCTAAGTGTTGCAGCCGTCACTACTGCTTGATCCTAGTTAACAGCTAAATCTCTTCCGCCGCCCAACATTTGCGTTATACTTGCCAGTTCCATACGACCATCCTAATGAAGCGTGAATCACCGTTAGAATAAGCAATTGACCGCGGCGTTGGCTTGAATATGCCTCTATCTAGTCAAAAGCTGACGGCTGAACAAGAAACTCTACCTGCATGCGTAGGCATCGCCACCCCTCGAAGCCTCTACCCTATCGTAATATAATTGTAGCAAGGATTTTGCTGCTCCAACATGAAACCAGCCATGTATAAGTTACCCAGTCGCGCTCACCCACATGTATATGGAGCTCGGCACTCGGCTTCACTTGATTTCACGTCCGAAACAGTTTAAAACTTACTGCAAGGCTTCAAAGTATACGAGAAATGCATTAACAAACTTCGTTGCGGCCCCTGAAAGCCGGCCGCTGGCTGTCGGCGGTAGCTGATGTTTTAGCTATACAAAAATACGCTCACATGTCAGTGGATTATCAGCCAAAGACTAGGGACTGTGTGTTTCTCTATATATTGTATAAGTAACGCACGTGTGGCTTTGCTACTTTCGGTGCAAATGACGCCCATAGCGGTTCGTCTATTGCTCGTACCATTGCTACTGCTGCCTGTTATGCCAATTATACGAGATTGCTGTCGATATATGTGCTATAATAGAAGGGGCCGCCAGCGTGCGCCAGCTACGATAAGCACGCGCGCACGAGGTAAGGTGAAGACTAGCAGAAAGCGACGGGGAAAATTCTTTAATTTGAAGGCAAAAATCACAGGGCCTAGAAGACGATACAGAGATCAAAGCAAACGCAACTAGCTTTAGTCACATGTAGGAACTGCTGAGTACAAGATGGCGTTTACATATTCCCAAGGTGAGATTTCACATGTCGAGAGATGTTGTTTGAATCGTAATGAGATTAACACGAGCTGCACTACATGTGTCACGCCAAAATTCAGCCTATTGACAAGGCACGAGTAACAAAGAACGATAGTCTTCAACGAGAAACGCCAGTATTGGAAACCAGAAAGCCGAAATTACAAACAAATTTAAATACACGGTGTTTTTTTTCTAGCTTAGTTTCGACTCGAGGTCAACTACAGCATAAGGACATGTATTGCACAGGTCCATGCTTGTAAATATGTTTCAATCTGATTAACAATAGTATTACAGTAAAGGGCAATAACAATTATAGCAATCGAATGCTCCTCGTAGCGAAACATCGGTATAGCTCTATCAGTACTTCAGGGGAACACGAGCAGACTGTTTTCAGCCGACTTCATTCACTGTACGTAGGCTACACAAATACTTCAGCGGCGGGTCAAAACCGCCGCCGTCGCCGTCACTACGGCTAAACGCTTCAGACTTAAATGAGAGGTGCGTGAGAGTTGGCCAACAAGAATAGCAGCAGCAGTAACAACAATCATAACGACAACAACAACAACAATAATAATAATAATAACAACAATAACAACTCTACAGCACTCAGCTGTGTGCCTTTTTTTCACATCAGCTTCGGCTGTTGTTGAAGAGTTGTCGAAGATCAGGCCTTCAGCTCTGCGTAGAAAACGCTTGTAGATTCTACTGCTGTTCAGCTGAGGTGACTAGGCGAGCGCAAGTCGTCTACTATAACAGCCAACGTGGTCCTCTTTGAGTAGTTCGTATTGAGTAGCGGATTCTGAACGACGTCATTGTCGTACGGTCCCTAATGATACTCATACAGGCAGGCAGGTAGGTAGGTAGGTAGGTAGGTAGACGGATGAATACACACAGGTACACACTTCCCCGAAGTAAGTCGGTTACTAATCGTTGAGCGTTTAAGATATTTGCGTTCGCCATTATGATATCGCGTATAGCCCCCTCCCTAAAAATCCGGCTCAATCATCAAATAGGTACCTGACGTTTACTACGATTAGTTCTCCTTTCTTTGGTGTGTCCCTGGCTCTTTCTTAAATCGTAACAAGTCGCTGAGAACATGGCAGCGACGATGACAACAACAAGTCTGTTTTTCCCGGACGACCGCCGCGGTTTAGGCAAAAGACTCCTTCAATTTTCCCTCGCTTTCTTGATACTTCAAAGCTTGGCGTGTATTATAGCGATTAACGAAGTCAGCAGTCGGAACTAGCCGGTATAATGCATCATAGCGAGGCGCATCCACTATAGCGGTTAATGCGTCTTAAGCGATCTGCATGGGAATGCCATGATTACTCGAAATCGTTGATCACGGAATTAACTATTGAGAACGAAATGGTTTCCGTTACTTCAAATCGCCGTAGCTATTATAGTGATTTCTATTCGATTCCCTAGATATGGACTTGTCGTTAAACTTTATCTAATTTTGGGCATGTTTAATCGGAGAAAGAATACGCGACTTGAACGTGTATGAATCTATTTTCTAGGCCCGTAACTATATGTGGCATCAAGATAATTATGATGAAGGTGATCTTCATACGTATCTTCTATAGGTTTACCAACCTCGTGCACTGCAACCCATCCCACCATGACCCATCTGGTAGCCAAATTTCAAACCGAGATATGTTCTCTCTATAACTAGCACTCGTAATACGCACCGCATCAGGGATGCTACCTAGTGCTTAATACAATACAATCCGAATTTGCAGGCTCTATTTCCCCACTAGACGGCATTCGGCCATTATTTCTCTCCTGCACCCGCAATGCCCCAGTAGTACTCGGATGTAGCACAATTCAGGCAAATTCAACGATTTCATCCTCTAGTTACGATGATTCACGAACGTTTAAGTCCTCATCGCCGACGGCATCGCCCCCGTTCTCATCCTGTTTGCGCAGACCGGCGACCGGCCTCCTCTTCTTAGCGGGTTGTCTGCCGCCGTCTGCATTTCGACCGGGCTGGCTGCCGACTGCTCTGCTAACTGGTAAACCGCCATATCTGTGGCGCCATTCATATATGTGAAAATAACGATATATGAGTATACATCGTTGAACAGTGAGTGGAGCAGCGCATTTGATGCGAAAGACGAGATAGGGCGGAGAAAGGGGCAATGAGTCGGGGCAAACGACGAGATGTCTGAGGGATTCTGTGGAGCCCGGCGTCGGAGGTACCGAACAACTGACGATGAAATGCTTCCTCAACAACGAAGCGCGATACGACCCAATGATGCTGGCTCGCGCGATGTACAGTGACGACAACGACGACGATGTCATTACCAGAAGCCATTTTTAGTAACGCGCATGAAGGAGTGCACGCTGCCGCCCGTTCTGAGTTTTCGTGCATTGTCAGTACGACAGCTAGACACCGTTCTGACCAAGAGCGGGGAAAAGGGAAAACCCCCGTGGGAGAAGCATTGCCAAGAAAGTAAGATTGTGAAGCATGCGACGTTGCACGCGGGCTCTTTTCATTCGATATAAGGTAGAGGATGCCTGGCCGACTGTAGGGGACATCCTTTTCTATAGAGTGAGGCAGCAATGAACGTGAAGGAGGGCACGAGGTAGAAAACTCATGTACGATGTTCTAAAGGGGAATTGTTCTCGTGTACTATAATGGAATAGAGATTAAGTGAGGGAAAGGCAGCGGGATGATGCCTTAGTGAAAATAGAGTTCCAGGTTTGCTCGAACAATTTTGGTTGCATAAGTTCTACTAATATGAATGCTATAGTTAACGTAAAACTTTGAAGTTTATTATTATGACGAAATGTAATTTGCTCGTTTTTCTATCTACTAATTACATTCGATTCTGGCTATTTGACTTTGTAGCCATAATATGACATACTCTTAGATGCAAAGAAACATT